AAAGATTGCTAAGCAACTTTAGACTACCTATAGCAGCGGTTCTCAACCTGTGGGTCATGACCCCATTTGGGGTCGAGCGACCATTTCACAGAGGTCACCAAACAACGCAGTCCGCCATTTTTTCCCCCTTTTCCTTAGCTGTGCTACTCCCTTTTATTCTATTGGCTTTTGAAAGCCAATAGAATAGACTCTCTTGAATAGAGTCTAATTCTATTGGCTTTCAAAAGCCAATAGGAATTGTCCAGGCTGTCTCTGCCCTGCTGAGCCCACCAAAATCCCATTCTGCAAACGGTGCTGCAAGTTGTCTGCAGCGAAGGCAAGCTGTCTGGAAGTTTCCACCCCTCCCTGCTGAGCAACTACTAAAAATGTAAGTAAAAGAGGGCCAGGGGTGGGAGGTGGGAGGCCGGCGGACACAGGGAAGGTTCCTGGCGCACGTGGGGCCCAGCGGGTGCCTTACCTCCCCTGGGCTGGGCCAGCTGGTGGCCCAGCCAGTGGTCACCCTGCGCCGTCGCTGCCCCTTGCCAGCTACGCCTCGGCCAGCGCAGGGAGCGGCACCACGCATGTGCGGCGCTCCTGGGCATGGAAAGTCCTCGACTTACGACCGGTTGGGTAGTCCTCAACTTATGACCGGTTGGGTAGTCCTCAACTTACGACCGGTTGGGGTCGCGGCATTAAAAAAGGTTGAGAACCACTGACCTATAATTTTTTAAAAAACAAAAAACACAGATCTCCTGATCAAGAGGCAAACCTCTAGGGCAGTTTTTCTCAACTTTGGCAACTTGAAGGTGTGTGGACTTTCAACTTCATGCTGGCTGAGGGATTCTGGGAGCTGAGGTCCACCCATCTTCAAGTTGCCAAGGTTAAAAAATACCACCTCTCTAGGGATAAAAAAATTGTTTGCCTTTGAGTGAACTTTTTTTTTTTTTTTGCCCTTATTCTCTCACAGAACCCATCAAATTTGTTTTCAGTTTTGTGAAAACCAGTTTGAAAAACCCTGGGGTAGAAAGCCATTGTGAAGAAAGGATTTTGGTCAGCATTTCATGACCACCAACCTGGTCAGTTTTCCGGGGAACCCCTCCGGAGGGATCATGCTGGCTTTGTTTGTGATGTAAATTCAGGAGTATTATTTTTGTTATGGCAATTAATATGGCCACATTCCACATGACCTTTTCTTCACAAACAAAATTTGATGTTCTTAAAATCTTGCTACAAAACAAAAAATAAAACTTGGTCTCAGGAAAAATATAAAAGCTAAAGTTAGCTACAGTATACATGCTCATGAGAAAAACAAAGTATAGAGTTAAGGCAATGAACAGTTTAGGACTAACAAAACATTACAAAAACTTGTGTCACCTTTCATTACCCTTGATGGTGAACTGTGAAAAAATTGCAACTTATTTCACTATTCTATTTAGTGGGTTTTTATCATTGGCCAAACATACTGTGGGTGTTAGGAAATCTCCCTTTGTTCATTTTCTTTAGGATGTTGTTGTTAAACCACCAAACATTCTCCGAACAGCTTCCACTTTTCTGTTCCTCTCCTCCTCCTCCTCCTCCTCCTCCTCCCCCTCCTCCTCCTCCTCCCTTTTCCCATCCCAGAAATGAAAGGGCCGGATCTCTTAGCTGTACCTTTTGCAACATCCATTGTCATGCCCCAAAAGGGGACAGTTTTACACTCACCAGGGGATTATTCAATTCCTCTGTGTGCGTGCATGCTCTTGTATATGTATGTGCACACTTATATGCACCCTTTCTTGTTCTTCAGATATTTAACCTCACGAAACTGACACACTGGCTTGCATCCCAATCAAAGCCACAGTGCTACCTTTAACTAACCTAAGTTTATCACAAATACCAGAAATACATTCATAAATAAAGGATCCAGTGTTGAATCAACATAACACTAAGGCAGGATTTGCACATTCATTCCATGCTAAAGCCAAACCAACCATGTTGTGGTTCAGCTGAATGAGGAAACGCAATCACAATTGGTACCCCTAAAGTCCTTAAGTGCTTCTCAAAGGAGGGATACCTAATGTCACTCCCAAGTCAATAAAAAGCGCTTCACATATGCTTAAAAGCATTTGGGTCATCAAGTGTCTACGTGTGTTTTAACCTGCATATAGCTCTTTGATCTGTTGTATGTTCCTCACGAAAGAAGGATTTGGACTCCCAGCCCTCAACCTTCTTATTCACTTCCTTGTTGTCCCAGAAACTCAGGAATGTGGATCTCCAGTGGTCTCCAGGTTAACTCCTCTTTGTGTTCCTAAGCACACTTGAAGAATGAAGTCCCTTTGCAGTTCAAAAGAGCAAACTGCTGGGGACACATCTTTAGGATTGCTCTCTTATTTTCAGAATCTGCTGCCTCAGATGAAGGCTTTACCTGCTTTGATGCCTTTTAAAGGGAGGGGGGGCTTCCAGCTACTGAAGGTAAAACTCCACGTTTGGAGGTAGCAAACCTTTAAGCACAAGTTTTCTAGGAACTATGGAGCCTTCCAGAAGGGCTTGACTGGCCGTGGATGTTGGGTCAGATGGATTTTTGCCTGGTTTGGCAGAGGTTGTTTTTAGGTTCTTATAAAAGAGAAGAAGGAAGGGAAACTTCCTTCTTTCTAGGGGTTGCATTCCTTTGTGCAAACCCACGGAGAATGTCATACGATGGGAAGGAGGAGATACTGACACTGACCATTTACTTACATCTTCATACTTCAGCACACATACGCTCAAGACCTGCACAAGATATTTTGCTGCTTGAAGCAAAAAACGATGCAGCCACTCACCCAACTCATACATAAAAGCTGATACCAACAGTCAAATCTTACTTTGACATAACAAGTGGGCTGCCCACGAGAAATCAGCCGGCTGCCTTAGGGGACATTTAGAGGGCACATGACAGGCTACCTTGCTTTGTTCCCCAATTTCTTATTCTAGATCCCTGGACCCCATTGCAGGTAGTCCTCAACTTACAACAGTTCATTTACTGACCATTCAAAGTTACGACAGCACTGAAAAAGGTGACTTATGAGCATTTTTCACAGTTATGACATTTGTAGCATCCCCATGGTCATGTGACCAAAATTCAGATGCTTGGCAACTGGCTCATATTTATGACCTATGCTGTATCTCAAGGTCATGGAATCACCTTTTCTGACTGTCTGACAAACAAAGTCAATGGGGAAGCCAGGTTCATTTAACGACCAGGTTTATTAACTTATCAACTGCCGGGATTCACTAACACCTGTGGCAAGAAAAATTGTAAAACTGGGCAAAACTCACTTAACAAATGTCTCACTTAACAACAGAAATGTTGGGCTCTGTTGTGGTCTTAAGTTGAGGACCACCTATATCGGTCAGTAAAAATAACTGGTAAGGCTGGCCCTGATGATTTTCATACGAACATTGTTATTATAGAGAGTTAACTTGAAACACAAATCCGTACAGTTGGACCCCCCCAAACTCTTATAGATACCTCTGTTCAGTCCGACCATGTCTGAATAACAGTTCCTCTGAGCACATGAAGAAAACAGGAAGCATTAGAACTGCTGAATTTCAAATCTTTTCTGTGCCATGTTAACCTGAGATATGGCAGTAGCAATAATATAGTGCCATTTCTGGACAGGAGTTGGTGGAGCCTTCAGATTAATTTTTGAGTCCGGGCAACTGCTTGGACAAGTTCCTGCAGTTTTTCTTGGCAAGGCTTTTTGGAAGGGTTTCCCACTGGTTCCTTCATAAATCTGAGAGAGATTGACTGGTCTAATGTCATCTCACTGGTTTTATACTTAAGGCAGGACTTGAACTCACAGTCTCCCAGTTTCTATATCCTGATGTCTTAACTGCTACGTGAAACTAGCTCTCTCCTTTTCTATAGTACTTCTTTCTAAATGTTCTATCTGCATTATCAAGGGTTTTTTTTCCCCACAACCAACCAGTAAAACAGGCCAATACTAGTACACTCAGACCGCAGACTGGAGAAACTGAGGCTGGAACAGTGACTTCCTTGTCTGTATATTTAGGAACCTAATTTGAAGCCTTGGATGAGGGGGCAGAAGTCCTTCTCTAGTCAGGTGTAGAAAGCAGTTTACCAAAACTCAATCCAAGGTCCTCTGGCTGAAGGTCTCTTTGTAGCTTTGTAAAAAGATAGAAAGCTTTGCAAATAAATCAATGAAATAACAGGACAAAGTCCTGGGTGCCCTTTATGGAATGAGTAGGAGGAGAGGCATGTTAGTCTACGGTGACAAAAATAAAAAAAATTCAAGAGGTGCCAGTAGTACTTTTTCCAGCCAATAAACTTTATTAAGAGGTATAAGGAATTATGAGCTGCAATTCATGAAAACCTATACCTTTTATTAACATTTGCTAGTTGGAAAAGGTGCTGCCGGATTTCTGATTTTATCGAGAGAAATACCCCGTCTGATTTAATGGATGGATGATTGGATGGAGAGAGAGAGAGAGAGAGAGAGAGAGGTGGGTGGAGGGATGGCATGGCATGGCATGGCATGGCATGGCATGGACTGATGGCTGGGTGGATGGACAGACAGACAAATAAAGAACAGAGGTCATCTCAAAGGAAGAGGAGCACACCAAACCATTTTAAAATGAGGACCATCAGAACTCTGGATTTTCAGAGTGGCCATATTAACCTAGTGCGTCCAGTCGTGTTTGCTTAACCTCGGCTTATAAATAAAGGGAACTCGTTGTGTTCCTACAAAGAAAACAGAGTAAATTCTGATTCAGGTGAGGACCCAGTTCCTAGAAACGTCCCTGCTGACTATTCACTTCTCCCTTTTAATCTCCTCCTGCAAGGTTTTGACAAGCCTCACTGAAGCCCGGGATCTCGTCCTTCGACCCCAATCAACATGTGGAACCGCAATACCAGTCAAAGCATGTTGGATCTGGTTTCTCTCCAAACTGCCGATCCTCCCCCGCTCGCTTTGGGGTCTTTTTTCTCCTCCCGCGTCCTGTCCCAAGTCGCCAGTTTCACCTGTCGGTGACGTCATCACGGGATGGGAGGGGTGTGGCCTGGGGAGGGATGAGGGGGACGAGAGGGATATATAGCCGGTCCCATATGGAAAACTGCATGCCTTTGTCCTTTGTAGCGTCGTATCCGGCTGTGGAAGCGAACTTGAAAGTTTACCTCTAACTGGACAGGTAAGAATCGGGTCTTGATGAAGGAGACGGAATACTTGGCTTTTATTGTATAAACGGATGTATATGTACACACACACACACACACACACACACACACATATATATATGTATACATATATATATTGCAGCGGTGAGGATCATCTAGCGATACAAAAGTTGAGTTTTATCAGTCTCGAAAACTTGTGGATCGGGGCGATGTGTGTGTACGTGTGTAGAAGTGGCGCCAAGACGCCTCTATCGTGCCCCCAAACTTAAGGGGCTTTAGAGGAGACGGGGGAAGACTCGAACCCGACACCTGTTTTCTGTTCTAGCTCAGACGAGCCTCGTGTTACTAGCGGAGCGTTTAGAACAACCTGCTGTTTTGAGAGCCTGGGAGCGCTCAGGCGCACCAGTTCCTAATGGACCTGGGTTGGTTTCTACGGATCCCAAATTTACTTTGCGGGAGGGGGATTCAGCCGCAAGTTCTAACCAGCTGTACTGAATACAATGACCATTGATCTGCATTTATTTATTTCCTTCATTGTCTATTGGATGTATATGGCCTCCCATCTCTAATTCATGACTTTGGGCGGCTAGCAATATTCAAGATAATAAATTTTTATGCCGTAAAAAACATGCAGCCGCTGAGATTCGGGAATTGAAATTCAAGTGCTCTTCCTTCTATAGGGGAAAAAAAAACCCGGCTTTAATCCCACCTACTGGATTTCGGACAACAGATCCCGATTATTTTTTTCCCGTTTCTGGGTTTCTTTTCTTTCCTCTTTTCTTTTAAGCGGATCCTGCCATAGCGCGGGAATAACGCTAGGAAGAAGAAAACCTTTCCCTTCCTTTCCTTTCCTTTCCTTTCCTACTTCCTTCCCTTCCCGAGTAAGAAACGGCAGGTGTACGATATTTTTTCCCTGGGGAACCATGCGGTGGGCAATTGCGTTACGCCCTGGCTCACCGCTCTCTTCTCTTTCGCCCGTGGAAGAGACAGCCGCCCTTCCCTTTTTTGATCCGGGCGAGGGTTGGTGGCGCCCTGAAGTTTTGATGGCGCGCGCTAGTTTTGCAGGAAGCCCCCCCTCCCCTTTCGCCCTAGAGATGGGGGGGAGGGGGCGAGTTTCGGTTGAAGGGCACGGGGAAAAAAACCCCGCAGGGTGTTCCCGCCCTCTTGTCGTCACCCCCACCTAAGCCCAGCCCGAAATCATGCGTGAATCACAGGGGGAAAACCTTTGTTCTCTGGAGCGTAGCCGCTCGGTGACCGCGTGGTCACTTTTGCCTGAAAAGTTGGGTAGATGAACTGGTGAGATCGGGGTGACGGTTGGCGAAGGTTCCCTTTCCTCTCTGTCAACAATTATTTCCTTCCCGCCCTAAAAAAAATGATGCCTAAAGCTAAGGATGAAATTTGGAGTGTTCTTTAGTTGCCTCCACCACACAAGGCACAAACAGGCACTTGGGATAACTTAACGATGTAAGTAAGTAAGTAAGGCCAGGCTCAATCAACTACCTGCTGTATTTGCACAACCTATTGGGGAAACTATGTCAGGTAGTTTTTTTAAAAAAAGGTTTTAATTGAGTGAATTCTGGCTAAATGCATCTTGCAACTGCCACTGCGTTCCCCGGGGCCTGTTTCAAGTGAACTGTAGACCTGACTTCAGAAAGTGAATATCTTTCTGAGACAAGTTGGGGAGGAATGCAAAATAAAACTTCAGGGAACAAATGCTGTGATTCTTCTGAAATATTTCAGACTCCTAATCAAAGAATCCAGAGGCCTGTTTTGCAGTTATTTATTTAGCGGATGGCATATCCCACATAGACTAGTAATGTATGTTAACATCTCATTTAGATCAGTAAAACTGTTTTGTCAGTTTTGCAGTTTCTCTGGTTCCTAGAAATGGGGTCAGCTGGAACTACAAAAGAGAGGAGGCATAAGCTCTTATATGTTATACAGAAAAATTGCAACAGGTGAATTCCTATACATTTGTAGCTTTAAGCAATGGCACACCTGTCTGAATAGCCATCCTGCCTCTGAACGCTGAGCTAGATGGAAGACTTGGCCCAGTACCTCTGCATAGCAGTACTTCCCATCAGAAATATCATAGCCCCTCCTAACTGAACTAGACTTTCTTCTTGAACAAAGGAGGATGACCATCTCTCTTTGTTACAAGCCATGGCTATGGAAGATGATTCTGACCAGGACTAGTTAAAACCAACTGAAATGGTTTAATCTGTTGAATGAGCTTTAACCAATGAATGACATCCCATTCTATTTTTGAATTTATCTTCTGAATTTTTTAACAATTGACCTTGCTCATAGATACAATGTGGAACTGATCCTGATACCATGATGTAGAATGATATAATCTTGTAGCCTTAATTGAATTTTGCATTGACTATTAGACTTCCTGAACTTGAGAGGCAATATGAAACAGTGATTAAGAGACTGGTCCATGGTTCAAGTCTCCATTTAAACACTAAGCACTGAATAACCAGTATAGCTAAGACAAGGTTGGGTATAAATATAATACAGTGGCAAAAGCAGTGATTGTGTCGACACAACACACTGAGGCACAAGTTAGCCCACCACTTTGTAGCATAGTATGTTGTGCAAATTGAAACCAATGTGATTAGCTTATGGTGCTGTTCATGAATTCAAAATGATATTAATTGCCTAAATCATTGTTCAGTTAATTGTGAGTATAAGCATGTTATGAGAACACAGCCAGTGAGGATGCTGTCATCTTTTGGAAGGACAGTATTCAGTCTCTTCTCAGATTAAAAATGGGAAGCCATTTTGAACTCTATAACTTGATGTCTACTTGCCTTTATACTTCTGTCTCATTTTCCATCTTCTTCGAAGACTACCTGTACATGAGTATACAAATATATAATTACTAGGAGGAACCACTTCAGCATATAAGCAGTCTGAACAGATAGCAGAGCACAGTTAAGCAACAACATTAGCTCTGCTTAGGACTTGGATGGGGCTGTTGAGTAAACAAAAGCTCCTGGAAGAAAACTGAGGCAAATCCGCTTTTGTATCATTGCCCAGAAAACTGCATTTGCATTGCTGTCACAGAGTTGAGCTTGATCAGAGAGAAAACTTGATGATATCTTAATATATAAGAAACTCCTCTCCAGCTTAGATTATTTTACAGATTTTAAGGGCTGTTTATGTGCATGGAAGCCTATAAACACTTTAGATAATGTAATAGCCAGACCGAAGTATGCAGAAATTGGAAGACTCTCACCACCACCACTTTCAATGAGGTGCAAGATACTGTTGAGTACAGTGTGTCTCAACTTTGGTGGCTTGAGGTTGTGTGGACTTCAACTTTTTCAGAATTTCCCAGCCAGCCATGAATTCTGACAGTTGAATTCCATACATATTCAAGCCACCAAGGTTGAGAAATGCTGATCTGGTAAATAAGCAATATCACTGAAACGAAACAGTGATGTTATTGGTCTTTTCACCCAGGGACTAAAAGCTTCAGTGGGAACATGAGCCTTCAAGGAGGCAATCCATTTGTGTTCTTTTCCTTTACCTCATCCCAGTTTAAAAAAGTGATTTGAGGCAACTTGATCTTGGAGTGCTGTTTGTCCTGCCTATGGATTGCAAAGCCTTGGAACAAAGAAAACAATGAGGAAAATCACCCAAACTAAAAAAAAAAAAAAAAAACCAGATGATTTTGCTTTAATAAGACATTACAAATAGCCTGCTATACAGCAATGAAACAAATGGAATTGACAATGTAGACGTTTGTTGCTGATAAAGGAGAATATTTGTAGACAGCTTGTTGGTTTTAACATTTCAGGGTTCAAGGATATCTTATCAGTAGGCATTCTTTAAGTATGCACTGTTTGTCCTCATCCTACAGGATTTTTTTGAATGGTCAGTTTTATAAAAACAAAAAAGATGATAAAAGATGGACATTTTAAGGTGGAGTTATTTTTGTTTTCCACCCTAAATCTCTCTTTTTTTTCTGTTCTCTCCATCTCACCTGATATTAATTTTACTGTCAAATGAACTAGGAGAACTATAGAAAGTGTGCTTCAAGCCAAGGGTTTACTTACTTGGATGGGGATGTGGAGCTTCTAGAAACCAGCCCCATCCTGATACTTTCGCAATTTTATTATTTTAAGCCAGCGGTTCTCAATCTGTGGGTCGCGACCCCATTTGGGGTCGAATGACCATTTCACGGGGGTCGCCAAACAACGCAGTCCGCCATTTTTTTCCCCTTAGCTGTGCTACTCCCTTTTATTCTATTGGCTTTTGAAAGCCAATAGAATAGACTCTCTTGAATAGAGTCTAATTCTATTGGCTTTCAAAAGCCAACAGGAATTGTCCAGGCTGTCTCTGCCCTGCTGAGCCCACCAAAAGTCCCATTCTGCAAACGGTGCTGCAAGTTGTCTGCAGCGAAGGCGAGCTGTCTGGAAGTTTCCACCCCTCCTGCTGAGCAACTACTAAAAATGTAAGTAAAAGAGGGCCAGGGATGGGAGGTGGGAGGCCGGTGGGCGCAGGGAGGGTTGCTGGCGCGTGTGGGGCCCGGTGGGTGCCTTACCTCCCTTGGGCTGGGCCAGCTGGTGGCCCAGCCGGTGGTCACCCTGCGCCGTCGCTGCCCCTTGCCAGCTACGCCTCGGCCTGCGCAGGGGGCGGCACCACGCATGCGCAGCGCTCCCGGGCAGGGAAAGTCCTCGACTTATGACCGGTTGGGCAGTCCTCAACTTACAACCGGTTGAATAGTCCTTGACTTACGACCGGTTGGGGGTCGCGGCATTAAAAAGGTTGAGAACCACTGTTTTAAGCATATGAAGAGTGTACTGTACCAGATACAGTCCAACATGGCAGCTTTAAAGTAAAATAAAAATCTTCAGTGCTTCACTTCTGGGACCCTCTGTTTTTGGATACTTGGACCAATACATTTCTAGGGATGTCATTTGCATAGATTACCAGGAAGAATTTGCTTGTTATCCACTCTTAATCCCAGAAAATTCATCCATGTCTCTGTGTATTGTTTTTATAAAAACTTGGGTGAGTCTTTCTTGCTCAGGGAAGGGCTTTTGACTTGCAGGATCTTTTTTCTTTTCTCTCTATATCCCTGAGCTGTAACAACTTGATACCAATGTCAAAAGCAAAACCAAACTCACAACAGCCAATATGGAGAAGCAGAACAAAAGTGTTCTGAGAACAAGCTCAGCCTTAGTCAGGTTTTCCTTCACTTAGTGTCATCCTGAAATGTTCAGCAACAAATATCACCAGCCCTGATCTTAAGAATTACACCAAACACACCTTGAAGATGCCTGGTTAGAGGAATTATTCCCTGAAAATTCATATTCTATATGAAAAATTAAAACCTGAGACAAATCTAATTCTTTGTCTTCCCCTGTTCTTTGGTTTCGGTTTCAGCAGCTTGCAGTAGGGCAATTTGCCTGGGATTGATGAGGCTGGGTTCACACATTGGGATAAGCCTTGCTTTGTTTAACATTTGTTTTTTAAGAAGCCCCCGCCCCCAGTTGCCTGGGTTCACAGAACATGTTTAGCCAATGGTTGAGTTCACATAGTACACTAAACCCAAACCAAGCCAATTATATATGAGAACATTTGGGTGAGGGAGCTGTTTGGAAGTCAAGGGCCAAACTTAAGCAGGATTGACTATTTTTAGGAAAGGAAATGGAGAAAGCTCCTGGCTGGGTGTGTATCTCTTGTCTAATAGCCAGTTCAACATTTGACAATTACCTGTTATTTTCTCTGCTTAATGTTGCCAAAGCACTCTAGATGACTTTCATACAGCCCTGAGGGCAAGAGATGATGCAGTTTACAATGCAACTATTTTTGAGCTGTTGCATACCAACTGTGTACAGGGAAAGAACCTAATTGCACAAGAGCCATTTACCTGACTAATTGGAGGAAGATTTGAAAAGCTCCTATTTAAGATGAGATAAAGAAAAAAAAGTGACTGGGCTGATCTTGGAACAATTGTTTGAGTGATGAGTTGGGGTAAACCTTGTATTTGAAACCAAGCCACTTTTCACCTCCACCCTTAAGCTGAGTCAGGCTTAGGCTGATTTTCCTGAGTCAAATGTTAACATTATTAAAAAAAAAAAAAAAAAACAGAAACAAATTTTCCTTCTTCAGAAAAAAAAAAAAGATTCAGTCACCTGACTATATTCCCTGCCCATTTAAATAATGTTTGGCTTTTGTTTCCTATCACGTATAACTCTCGCCATGGTGATTTATATCATAAACTTAAAAGAAGTCACAATTTGTGTATAATCCTAGTGATCTCTCCATTTTCTTCTGTTAACAATTGCAGCAAGTGTTAATTACTATTTCCCACTTGATTAGTGATGATAGTAAAATATCCAAATGTCATATCTCAAATATTTAATTCTTCATTTGTAGCAAACTTATGACCTACATAATTTGAGATCCTAATACCATAGTGAAAAAACATTCCTTTCTGAATTATAATTGACCATGGTCTAGAATTTTGAAATTCTTATAGCTAAGGAATTACAATTAATAAAGATGCTGGACCAGGAGCAGGTAAACTGAATCCTAATTCTCCCATAGGAATGAAACTAATTGTGCAACTTTGGGCCAATCACTCTTTGAGCCCTAGGAGAAAGATGATTGGAAACCACTTCTTAGCCAAAAAAACCCATCATCAGACGGTGGGTGGACATGAAAGACTAGTAAAAAACAGCAAAAATAACTACTAATCTCAATCAAAATTAGCAAAAGAAAGTGCATAAGACTTATGAAAAATGTATTTTACTTTTCCAAAAGAATTCATCAAGCAGGATGTTTTGAAGATCAGGATATTCTAAATTCTTGAAAGTATACTTATAGCTATTTGGTAATTTGGACATCATTCTGAGACAGTATGATTCATAGGGAAAGTGTGAGCATAGCCTTGAAGAATTTAACAGATACTTGGCAAAATGACAAAATTAGTTTTTCAAATCATCAGCTGTAGGACATAATGCCAATTCAGAGAAAGGAGAATGATACTGTGATGGAAACCCTTATATTCACATATACCCTAACTCCTTTCATGATCTGACTTTTAAACACATTTTAGTTTGCAATTGCATCTGAAGTAACCGAAGGTGAATTATAAACTTGATTTATAATTACAGATTTACAATTACAGATTCATTTGCAAATTAAAGAGGAGGCGAATTGTTGAATTGGAGCACAGGGTTTGCTCAAAGAATGGTAGAACAATCACTTTGCATGGCATGTGATCAAACCCCCAAATTTTGCAATGTTAGAGTGAAAAGTCTAAGCCTTAATTAGTAATGGTTAAAATTTTGACCTTTTACTGGGAAAACTAAGTTGAAATCCCATTTGACTCAGCCATTAATCTCTGTCATTGTTAGATTTACTTTTGGATCAACTTATGCACTGGAGTCAGCTTACACAGGACCACAGGAGGTGATTGTTAAATTTTCAGGAATTTTGAGAGCAGGAATTCTGAGGCTCAAAGCCTAGAGTGCCAGTCAGCTGTTTGGCGACTTGCAGTCTAGTGGTGGCAATGGAGCCCACTGAGCCAATTGTTATATATTTCTTAGCACACTACTGTTCATATCCTTCCTTTCCTTTGGGAGCACAAGAAGCATTATGCATAGTGTGCCCTCCTCCAATTTCCTCCATAACAACAACCCAATGAGGTAGGCTGGGCTGAGTGATGAAGTGAATTTTCACACTGAGATGGGAGAACTTAAAACTGGGACTTTCTAATCCATGTTTTGCAAATGCCATTGTGGCTTTATGTGGCTAAGACTATTTATTTACAGTTGCTACCCAAGTGGCTCCAGGGGGTATACTGTACACAACTACCCCCAAGCCCCAATAACAAAATTAGCATAAATAAACACCCAGAAACAAGGATAAAACATATGCACACCTAACAACATGGGGGTCGAATGCAGCCGCTGGATATTCCAACATTGTCTTGTCTCACTTAACATCTTTTCTTAAGTTAAAGATGCCAGAAACTGCATCTTGGGATCTTTTACATATAAAATGTACTCCCTGTGAATGAGCAATGGTTCCTCTCTCGAGGGCATATTGTCCGAATGGGACTACTACTACTAATGCTGAGAAAAAATCCTTTAATGGTTTGGTTGCCATAGAAAAGTTGATCAAGTATGTTCTCCAGGCTTGCTAAATGCCTACCAGCTATCCAGCTTTTAACCAGAAGTGACTGGATTTTGAGTTGATCTCCAAAGAGCAAGGCAAGCACTCTCCAGTTCCTTATTTAATTTAGATGTCCTATTTCACGGGAGGAAAAAGCAATCTGAAATTGGTGAATACAGGTAGTCCTCGACTTACAACAGTTCATTTAATGATCATTGTTACAACAGCACTGAAAAAAAGTGACCTATGACCATTTTACATACTTATGACCATTGCAGCATCCCCATGGTCACATGATTTACATTCAGATGCTTGACAACCAGTTCATATTTATGACGGTTGCAATGTCCTGAAGTCATGTGATCATCTTTTGCAGCCTTCTGACAAGCAAAATCAGTGGGGAAGGCCAGATTCACTTCACAATCGTATTACTAATTTAAAACCTGCAGTGGTTCACTCAACAAATGTGGCAAGAAAGATGGTAAAATGGGACAAACTCATTTAACAAATTTGTCACTTAGCAACATAAATTCCGGGCTCAGTTGTGGTTGTAAGTTGAGGGTTGTCTGTAAATACTATTTTTTAAAAAAAAGAGTGCCTCCCCCTCCCCCTAATACTTAAGCCCCTATCAAGGGTAAACAACAGGATGAGTGAGAGACTCTTAGTTTGCTTGGGAAACAGGTTATATAATGCACCCAGCTAAGCCTTACCAACTAGGGGGTGGGGGTTTGGCCAGAGAAAACCGGCTCTGCAAGAGGGAGCCTGTAACTTCAGCACAATGGGCTCTGTAACTTCCACACTGGTTGGCTCTTATGATCTCATCCTTGCCTTTTTGTTTGTCTGAAGTATAGATTAGCTGTCTTCAGTTTTACTATGTTTGTAGAGAGCAGTGTTTTTCAACCTCAGCCACTTTAAAATCGGTGAACTTCAACTCTCAGAATCCCCCCCCCCAGCATACATCCTGGGGAATAGAATAGAGTAGAGCTGGAAGGGGCCCCTGCTCAAGCAGGAGACCCTATACCATTTCAGACAAGTTATTGTCCGTTCCTTTCTTAAAAACCTCTAGTGATGAATCACCCGTACGATCTGAAGGCAAGTTGTTCCATTGGTTAATTATCCTCACTGTCAGCAAGTTTCTCCTTAATTCCAGGTTGCTTCTCTCCTTGATTAGCTTCCATCCATTGTTTCTTGTCTTGCCTTTTGGTACTTTGGAAAGTAAGTTTACCCCCTCCTCTTTGTGGCAGCCCCTCAGATACTGGAATACTGCTATCATGTCAATCCTAGTCTTTTTCTCTAGACTGGCCAAACCCAAATCCTGTAACCATTCTTCATATGTTTTGGTCTCCAGGCCTTTAATCATCATAATTGCTCTTCTTTGCACTTTTTCTAAAGTCTCAACATCTTTTTTATAATGTAGTATAATACTGGATGCAGTATTCCAGATATGGTCTTATTAAGACTTTATAATACAATACAATACAATACAATACAATATATATTGGGAAATGGTCCACCTATCTTAAACCTTCTCAACCTTCACAGTTGAGAAACACTGCTCTAGCGTCTAGCCTCTCAAAGGTTTGCCACAAACATACTTTACTGGATTAGAACAAGGATTTTTTTTTAACCTGGATTTAGGTCTGCCTCCCCAATCTCCTGCCCTCCAGAACTGTTCCAAATATATCTAGAAGCCAAATCCTCATTTCTCTCTAGCAGCAAAAAAGTGGAACTGTCCTCCTGCTGAACACAAAGTTTTGGTCTTACCTCTTGCAGTTCATAGTAATTGTGGACTTGGATCCTCAGATGAGTGCATGCTAACTTGCATTATTTGACCTTTGACCCTGCTGCTGGGAAGTATAGTAATGGGAGTTACTGTATACTCCACTAACATCTGTTACAGGATTACTTGGTCTAATCCCCCTCCAAAACTCTTGCTAAATTAGCATCCATCAGCAAATCTGGGATTTTTTTTTACTAAATCAGGTAATATATAGAGAAATCTGTGAGTGCCAAAGGAAACATGACTTGGTCTCTACAGCAGAACTGAATGATTTTTTATGGGGGTTAACACTTAACAAACTACAAGAGGCAATGATTACAAATAACAGCATTTGTAGGCTGGGAAAGTCAGTGATATCAAAATTACAGATTTGACTGCCACTGAAATGCACAACCCTTTCACTAGATGCAAAATAGGTGGTTACATTCTGAAAATAAATTTGAACAAATTTCCCTGTGTGGTTTTTTTTTTTTACCCTTTGTTTGCCAAATATTATTTTGGATTCCTGTTAAGGGCTTTATGTGTTTCCTGTTTCAAAGTGGTGGGAAATCAACTGATAGCTCTGGCTGCATCCTTGGCAAATATCAAATGTAGTGATCTGATGCACTGTTACATTAGAGTAACTTTTCACAAAATTCTAATGGCACACTGTTATTTCTCTCTAGGACTGCCTACCCTGAAGCATGGTGTCCGTTGCTTTTCAAACCATGGGCATGGCCCTGTCTATCGTGGGCTGGATTGGGGCCATCATCACGTGTGCCATGCCTTTGTGGAAAGTGACGGCTTTCATTGGTAACAACATTGTGACAGCCCAGACCACCTGGGAGGGGCTGTGGATGAACTGTGTGGTGCAGAGCACTGGCCAGATGCAATGCAAGGTCTATGACTCCATGCTGGCTCTGCCTCAGGATATACAAACCGCCCGGGCTCTCATGGTCATCTCCGTGCTTCTGGCTCTCTTAGGCCTGATGGTTGGCATCATGGGTGCCAAATGCACCAACTGTGTGGAGGAGGAAGATGTCAAGGCACGTATTGTCATTGTCGCCGGGGCCATGTTTGTGGTATCAGGAATTCTTTGCCTCATCCCAGTCTGTTGGTCAGCCAATACTATAATCCGGGAGTTCTACAGCCCATTAGTTATGGAGGCTCAGAAGAGAGAGCTGGGCCCGTCCCTCTACCTTGGTTGGGCAGCAGCTGCTTTGATGATCCTTGGAGGAGGATTGCTGTGCTGCAGTTGCCCCAAGAAAGAGAGCAACAACTACAGTGCTCGATACACAGCTGCTGTCTCTCAACCCCGCAGCGATTACCCCAGCAAGAACTATGTTTAAGAGAATCACCGTCGTGATGATGCTGTTGTCATCCTGAAAGCTCATTACTGGTAAATTCCCTGAGAGCATCAGAACTGCATAATGAACATCCCCAAGGAGAGCAGAGCATCCTGCTCCACAACTTCTCAACATTTCTGGCCCATCAGTATTTTTTTCTCACTGTTACCACTAGATAGTTTTATTCCCACCTGTTTCAGCTCCTCTTTTGAAGAGAATCCTTGATTTTTAATAGAAGAATTCAGTATAGGTAGATAGGTATTGAATCAATGTCCTATTTTCGAGTGGTTTGTGATAAATGCCTTTGTGTGTTCTTGCCTTCTCCTCTCCATTACACAATCCCAAATAGCCCATAATGGCTCAGAGATCACATCCTGTTCAATGGGATGAGGTGGGGTGGGGTGGAGGTGGAAATAGTTACTCTATATCTATGTTTTTTGAAGCTGTGATATGTTGTACAGTATTTTATGAAGAAAGGGGATGTGGCTTTTTAGACCTGTTGTTGTTTTTAATTATTTTGCAACTGCTCTTGCATGCATTTCATACTGGAAGCCAGTTTTTTCCTCTTTTTTAAAAAAAATATAACCTGAATAAAATTAATGCTTTTATATATAGCAGCTTGCCTTAGTCGTTTGTATACGTGTGTCTGTAACTCTGGTGTTAACCTGAGAATCTACTACTGGGGAAAAAGTCTTTCTTTCTTGGGGTCATGGATTCAAAGCTTTTATCATGTGGTTCTTTCTATTTTATTGAAGCTGAATGCAAGGGTGGATAGTTTTTCACAATAAGGCATTCCCAAAGTAGCAAAACGTGCATGGCAAAAGGGCAGAATGGAAAGAATGATCCGTGTGGGAGGATTATTCTCATAATAACTACATTTCTTTGTCTCATAGAAGGCAGGAAACCATGATGGTGAATGGTTGAATGGGGACACCCCCACACATAAACTTTGTTGTGATGGTTATTATTGCTGGGCTAAGTCATAATGTAATTTACAGGGTTTCAATTTAGAACAATATTCCTCAACCGTGACAACTTAGGTTGCCATGGCTGACTACGGAATTCTGCAAGTTGAAATCCACATATCTAAGTTGCCAAGGTTGAGAAACACTGATATAGAGGCTGTAGGAACTTAAATAGCTGAAGCTTATTCACTAACCATCCTAGCAAGAGAAATGGGCTGAGCAAAAATCTGTTCTAAACTGTTATAACATGGGTTTCCCACCTTTTGGCTTGCCTGGGCTGCATTGAGCGAAGAGCTAATTATGGAAATATCTCTAAAAATCACATAGCAATGTTAAAAGTTTACAATCTTGTAAAGGATTAGAAACTGTCCAGGGCGCATGCAGCCTATGGGCCAGGGGTTGGACATGCCTGCTGTTTAGTTAGGATATCTGAAAATCATGTTGCAGGAAGTTGAATTAAGTATTTTTTTTTTTTAGTTCTGTCCACTAGTTTTAATGGAAGGAGTTTGCAAATTAGTAGAATAGATCCTAGGGCTGGGAATTGTCCAGAATCAATTCCCTAGATAATTGTGGTTTAATTAATTATTTAATAATTAATTATTAATTAATTAACCTTGATTAAACAGTTATATACTAGGATAGGATGTTAACCCAAGAGAGCCAGTTTGGTGTAGTGATTAACTCAGCAGATTAGAAACGGGATTCTGAGTTCTAGTTCTGCCACAGGCACAAAGTCAACTATATGTTTCTGGGACAGTTACTCTCTCTCAACCCTAGGAAGGAGGCAATAGCAAAACCATCTCCGAAAAACCTTGCTGTGGAAGCTGCAGGGAGTAGTCCAGGCAGTCAGCAGGAATCAACACTGCCTTGTAGGCACAATTAAAAAAAAAATAACCCAATCATTGTGTACAAGCTTTGGGCAACAAGGAGTCATGGACGATTGCTTACTTGAAAAGAAGATCTTTATCTTTAGGCTTGAAACATTCAAGTTTAGGGTAATGATTCCATTTCTCCTCCCATCTGCCCCAGGCTAAGAATTTGGAAAGCAATTTTTTGAAACAGTAAATAAGGTCTTCACACAAGGGGAAAAGAGAAGGACAAATTTGGAAAAGCATACATAACAGTTACATTTGCATGCTCAGTCAACATGAAATCACCTGGCTCAATATTTTATTTTCCATCCTGTAACTTCTAAACTTTTTCTCTCAGATCCATAGACAAATCCCCAAGTTACAGGTCTTTCCTTTATCTTGCAAAACAGTCCCATAGCATTAATACTAGACTCCCCAAGGAGATAGCCTTACTTCTGTAGAAAGCTTATTCTTTAAATTCTCAGCAATCAATATCCCAAGGAGATATTGTTCTACAGAAGATTAGAATATTGTTCTATTCTCAGCATGTGATGATGGAGATAGTAAAGCCCTCTACACATATTCAGAAGTTCCAAAAGGTTTTGTGGTATGGGTTTGGGTTCAAATGAAGCTGTGCACAGCATCTCACCCAGATGTTTCATTCAACAAGTCTTTCTCAGAGAGATAATTCTACCAATTACGGCTTCAGAACTGTAGTATGGAGGAAGCAGGAGCAAAAGAAGATAAGCAATCCCATTGCCCCAAGGAACTATGTACATTCCTGATGAAGATATTAGAGTACAGTATGTAACAAAACCACAGGAATCCATTGCCTTGAGGCAAGGCTAGTTCTTGGAAAAATTTAGGTTTTCCCCCAACATATCTTCACTGGAGTCATACTACTGACCAAGCAGAGGTACCAGCATAAAGTGATGATATGCAGGAATAGCAATAGAGCTAGCATGCACAAAATAGTTTGATTCTCAGGAAATTGCTGATCCTGTAAGTGCAAAGCAAATTCAAGGAGCAACGTCAAGCTAGAGAACTAGGAATTGGCTAAAGTTGGGGATAGGCAGGTACACCAGAAGTAACTTGAAGGAAAGAAGTTGGCAACAGTGATGGGGTTAAAGCAGGAACTTAAGTGTTGAAGACTGGAGTCCTGCACATAGATATCACAGAACTGGGTGATTGCTGAGAGAAGATGGGAGAAAGATTAAATACCAAGAAAAGGAAATTATAGTACAGAACTGAATAGTTGGGGGCTTGGGGGGAGAGATTTTAAGCCATGCTAAATCTACCACTAATGCAGCAGTTTTAACAACTGATTTTAGGTGCCAAGAAAGGGCAGCACATGGTTAATTGTTTAACTAGCGGTTGTGTTTTTACTGCCAGGGAAGTGAAGCATTTAGAGATTTCTTGCCTCAAATCCCACAAGGCCACAAGTGCTACACACTTGAATTAGTAAAGATTGAATTTTCTAGTCTGCTTCCAGCAATACAATGACTTGGTCTAACCCATGCTTTGGAATTGGAGAAGATAAAGAAAATGGCTTTTAGTTTTGATGTTAACCTTCTCTTCTGCCAAAAAACGTGAGGTTCAGTGCCTCTCGTTTTATCCTCAAGGAAATGTTATAAAGTAGATGAGGCTGAAAGGGAGATCTTGCCAGGTTGCCCAGTAGGTTGGGTGGAGATACAGACTTCGGATGTTCAAATATTTCATTGTTGTTGTGCTTTCGAGTCAGTCTGACTCCTGGCGACCGCCTGGACGGGTCCCTGCAGTTTCCTTGGCAAGATTTCAGAAGCACTTTGCCTTTGCCTCCTTCCTTGGGCTGAGAGAGCGAGCAACTGGCTCAAAGTCATGCCTAAGGTGGGACTAGAACTCGCAATCTCCCAGTTCCTATCCTGATACCTTAACCACTACACCAAACTGGGTCTCACACTAACATTGAGCATTGTTGCCATTGCCCATCATGAGAAAATTGTTTGGGCTTCAGCAGGTAAATTTAGGATGTAAATGTGACAAAAGTCTTAGCCCAGCACCCCCAACCTGAGCACTCTCCAGAATGTGGACTTGAACTCCCAGAATAAGAGCAGCTGGGGATATGCAAGTACAGGTAGTCCTCGACTTAGGACCACAATGGAGCCCAAAATTTCTGTTGCTTAAACATTTGTTAGGTGAATTTTGCCCCATTTTATGGCCTTTCTTGTCACAGTTCTTAAGTGAATCACTGCATTTGTTCAATTAGTAACAAGGTTGTGAAGTGAACCTGACTTCCCCATTGTGAGAAGGTTACAAAAGCTGATCATGTGACCCTGGGACATTGCGACTGTCATAAATATGAGTCAGTTGCCAAGCGTCCCAGTTTTGACTATGATGGTAATAAGTCGCTTGTTTCAATGATGTAACTTTGAATGGTCACTAAATGAACTGTTGTAACTGGAGGTCTACCTGTACTAGTCTTGGGATTTGGCAAGCATAGGAGGTTTTCAACCTGCTACTACGTGCGGGACTTAGCGGAGCAGAAGAAGAAGATGGAATTAGAGGCAGTAATCCAACCATTGGTGTCTTGGGTGTAAACAACTAAGATGATAGGGATTTGCATTCCATCCCTCCCCACCGCCACCCCCCCCCCAATTGTTTCTTGCTAGAGTTCCTCCCTTGGCAGTACCTTGTGCCTCAGAAACCAACGTAGATGGAGGAAGCTGTACTTCATGCCAGGGGGGCTGGCTTGTCCCTGACTGTGGAAAGCTCAGCCTGGCACTGGAATGTACTGGTACTTCTCCAAGAAGCCAGGCAGGGATCTCGTCTTAAAAGGGTCGACCTCTGGGCCCACAGCCAAGAAACCTGAAGTATTCTGGCAGGGAGGAGGGGAGCAAAACTATAGATCTGCACTCCTGCATTTTGCTTAAAGGAAAGAGAAGCCAGTTAGCCAGGTTTTCTCCTCATGGCCCAGATTCCTAGCATTTGAGTTTCTTTGACAAAATGAAATTCAGTGGTGAAAAAAGTAAGGTTCTATATTTAGGCAAGAAAAACCAAATGTATAGGTATAGTATAGGGGGTACCTTGCACAATAGTAGTAACTGTGAGAGGGATCTCGGAATCCTAGTGGACAATCACTTAAATATGAGCCAGCAGTGTGCTGCAGCTGCCAAAAAAGCCAACACAGTGCTGGGCTGCATTAATAGAGGGATAGAATCAAGATCATGTGAAGTGTTAATACCACTTTACAAGGCCTTGGTAAGGCCACACTTGGAATACTGCATCCAGTTTTGGTCACCACAATGTAAAAAAGATGTTGAGACTCTATAAAGGGTACAGAGAAGAGCAACAAAGATGATTAGGGGACTGGAGGCTAAAGCATATAAGGAACGGCTGCTGGACTTGGATATGTCTAGTTTAATGAAGAGAACGATGAGGGGGGACATGATAGCAGTTCCAATATCTCAGGGGCTCTCACAAAAAAGAGGGAGTCAAGATATTTTCCAAAGCGCCTGAATGCAGGACAAGAAGCAACGAGTGGAAACTAATCAAGGAGAGAAGCAACCTAGAACTAAGGAGAAACTTCCTGACAGTTAGAACACTTAACCAATGGAATAACCTGTCTCCAGAAACGGTGAATACTCCAACACTGGAGGTTTTTAAGAAGAGACTGGACAGTATAGGGTTTCCTGCCTGAGCAGGGGGTTGGACTAGATGACCTCCAAGGTCCCTTCCAACATCATCATCATCATCATCATCATTTTTATTATTATTATTATTATTATTATTATTATTATTATTATTAAATATTTCCAACTTTCCATCCTGGGGACAGGTTTGAGCAGAAGAATGTTTGGTAGAAAAGAACCAGTCATATGAACTATGGTATGACTGGATCTGGTTCTTCCTAGTATGTTTCTATTACTTTCTCTACATTAGCTTTTTTCATTTTGCCAACAAAGTGGGGGAGGAAATGGATCATACTTTATAGGTAGCCCGTGACTTAGGGGCTACAACCAAACCTACATTTTTTTGTTGCTAAGCAAAGCAGTTGTTCAGTGAGTTTTGCCCCATTTGATGACTTTTTTTGCCACAGTTGTTAAACAAATCACTGCAGTTGCTACATGAATCATGTGGTCATTAAGCGAATCTGGCTTCCCTCATTGACTTTGTTTGTTGGAAGCCATTTGGGAATGTTACAAATGGTAATCGCACAACCCAGGGACAGTGGAACTGTCATAAATATATCCCAGTTGACAAATGCCAGAATTTTGATCAGGTGACTGTGGGGATGTTGTAATGGTTGCTTGTTGAAAAACAGTCATAAGACACTTTTTTCAATGCCAATTGTAACTTCAAACAGTCACTAAATGAATGGTTATAAGTCAAGGACTACCCATACTTATTTACTTCAGGAACCATAACCTGACTTGCTGTTTGTTTGATTGTCCTATTTGTCCTTTATTACAACAAAAAGGAAAAGGATGAAGTGGAAGGCTAGGGATTTCTGGGAATTGAAGTCTACACATTTTAAAGCTGCTGAAGCTGAGAAACACTGTTTTAAGGGATAAGTCTCATTTCTCAGTGCTGACAATGGAAACTGAAGAAAAATTTCAGTCCTGATTTGTGGGAAATGCAAATGTTCCTATAATTTATCACGCTCTCCCTCCAGTATTTGAGGCTTACAAGATTTAGCTCAGACTCTATTTAGATTCCCATGTTGTGTGCTCTATAATCCAACTTGCTTGGTTTGGTTTAGGCCACATGAACCAGCCCTGTGTAAGTTAATCATCCAACCAGGATTAAACAAACCATGGCTAAGAGTGATGGAAAACCTGGCCACTCCCTATAAAGGAAATATTGCATTCTTTCATGCACATTTAATTTTTGATACTAGATTTAAATTTTTTTTTTTTTTTATGAAGAACACAGGAGTTTGGGTGGATTTTCTCTATAGAAACTATAGATGGATTCTTTTCTCTGTGTCTTATATCAGGAAAATCCTTGGAATCCCCCAGGGTCTGATGCTAAAGAATAGGTGTCATTGATGCTTGTGCCCCAGTTGCTGGATATATGAGAAAGCCATATAAAGACCAAGAGGCTTTGTGCCCCTTGGGAATTTGTGGAAGGAGGAAGAGGTCGCTAATTGTCTACAAGTAATCCTCACTTAATGACTGGTCACTTAGCAACCAGTCAAAGTTACAACGGACCCTGTTATGACCCGGTTCTGGAGTTCTGATGACTGCATTCCCCCACAGTTCCATGAACACACGTTGAGTGCTTGGCAACCAGTTCACTTTTATAGCTGGTTGCATCATTCCACAGTCACATGTCCATAATTTACAACATTTTTTGCCAGTTTATGGCCTTTTCAGACAGTTTTCAGCAAAAAAAAACCTCCCATAGGAATATATCCATTCTCTTAACAGTCACAAAATGTTGTAAAATGGCTGTTTGGTCATGTAGGTGGCTTGACTTACAACTGTCATGAGTTAAAACGGAAATTATAGGCTCCCTTATGGCTGTAAGTTGTGGAGTAGGAAATGGCAAGATAAATGCTTTGATCTTAATTGCTGTGCCTTAGAACCAGCTTCAAATTTGAGCCAAATGCCTTTTGGTGAGCTCTTGCCTCTGTTAACCTGTGCGATCAAATGTGGCAAGCATCAGTTATGGTTTACACAATGCCTTGTGGCTCTTTGGTAAGTACCTGCACACATACACACATATACACTCGATTATAATTTTCTATAATTATAATATAAGAAGATTCTCTTTTTAGTGTTGTGGGGAACTGAAAGAGATGGAAAAGAAAGTGAAACATCCTAGGTAAGTATTAATGGGCAATCTTGTTTGAAGGGGTCATTGACAGCTATTCCAGTGATTATTTATGGTGTATCGTATATCGACTAGCAACATATATTAACATTTCACCTAGATTAGTAAAATATAATAAAATACACATTTTAAAAAGATCTATATTCAAATACCAATGTTTCTAGGTCATCTAACCATTGAACCATAGCAGCATCATTTATGTGAAAACAAAAATCAGATACTGGACCGGTACATGCCCTCAGCTTACAGCCAATTATGATGTGATCTACAATTTGACATAGGAGCCCGCAATCACACTGAGGGGTGGATACTATGCCCCATTTATTCATAGAGTTCCTGCAGACGCCATGTGAGGTGAGAATCCTATTCAGGATTGTCTATTGCTGACGTGGTAGTTCAAAGCCTGGTACCTTCATAAGTCCTCGTATGTCTGGGCATTCAGAAACCCATTTGGCTTTCCATTGGAAATCGATGTTAAAGTTGCTGGGGAGATGTTATGCACGTGTCATTAGGGGCTTCCTGGATTTGAGTCTATCTGAGCTATTCCAGTATGGCCATGCTGATGCCAACCATGACTTATTGAGGTGCTCTTGTGAAGGACCAACTGGGAACATCACACACTTCACACTGTATATCTTTTGCCTGTGTTTTACACCTTGAACATACATGTAATTTGAGCTGGGGCTCAATCTCAAAAGCTTGATATTTGATTAGCTCTACCACCCTTTTCCTTTGATAGCAGGGCTTTGGGCCAAAATATGCAAAGAATCAAAAGGAATGAAGTGTGCCTAAGTATGCTTGAAGTGTATACCAGCATTTCTCCCAAATTACCAGCCTCACTTTGTGGAGTATAATATTTATGTCTCCCTTTACACCTGGGACCTTAGTCCCCCCCTCAAAGCATATGATGGGAAGAAATGTGTTAGTTTTCAGGTGCCAAGGTTCTTCAGGTGCCTCACACTACCTGCTCTGTACTTTCCCTCCTATATGCCAACTGACAAGTATACTGTTCTCTGCATCTGCACACTTTGGTTTGGACAAATTGCTTGCATATTTTTCTATATCACAGAGTGCAATCAATAGTCTTGGCAATTTGATATCCTCTCATTACGGGTGCTTAAGTTGAGGCCTCTCTCTCTCTCTCTCTCTCTCTCTCTCTCTCTCTCTCTCTCTCTCTCTCTCTCTCTCTCTCAGCGTTTTTCTCCCTTTTTTAACACTTTCAATTCAGCTGAAAAGAAGAGTGCTTCTGAGTATCTCCAGACTGCATCCAATACTACTGAACAGTTTCAACAGATTCAGGATTAAGAATAGAGCCAGTTTCAAAACCAGCCACAAACTCCTGTATCTCTGTTGTTTTTAAAACACTTAAATGATTTTTACTTCCAATTACAAATATGCAATTGCATTAGTGCATTAGCCTTACTGTACATCTCTGTTTTGATTCCAAACATTTGAGGTTGAAACTGTAGAGGGCTTAACTGTAGATCCATTGTAGATACTCAAGATCAGGAACTACTGAGTCAAACAAGATTTGCCATGAAATATTATTGTATTCTTATCAGTTGCACAACATCAGTTGTGTGTAAATGGAACACTGGAGGAAATTCTTAATATTGGATGATGCACTGCATTCTCATGATATACCTACATCAAATATAGCCTTAAGGAGTTGCGTTTGCCCAACATGTAATACTTGGCTAAATTTAATCTTGTTTTATTTTGTTTTGCTGTAGCTATCTTGTGCAGACTGGCCCATTTGATTCAATGTCCTATGTGACTCTTAAACATGAGCTGATATAAGTTAGCAAAATTAAGTGTATTCTGCAAAGACTGCCCTCCCCCCCACAACCTTTGACAGTTAGACATTTCCATTGATACTGCTTTTCAGAAAGTCTTTACTCTCCTTCCTCACTTCAAAAAAAAAGTCAGGCACAATTAGGTTACAGTTTTTAAAAATTTATCTGAATAATATAGTTGTCAATTAACACTATACAAAACTCTGAGTGGGGGACCATGAAAAGGATCCCCATGATGTCTTCCAGCTTAAGGGAATTACAATATTTCAGAACATCTTTGAAAAACAAAACACATAGAGCAAAACAAAAGAGAAATAAGAATCTTTTTCCAGGGAAAAGTCAAATAGATTTACAAGCAGAATATCTCTGTAAAAGGAATGGGGCTTAATGCATTTGTTCAAAGTCCTGTTTCTTTCTGATGAATCTATCCATGTCTGAGGCAGGTGGTTGTAATAGGTAAAGATCAATGGTCAGGGAAGAAATAGACCCCTTTGTTTACCCAGGCCCCTGAGAATAGCCAAAACCTCCACTAATTATTAACCAGAGAGCAAATATCTCCAGTCCAAGGCAATTGTAGGGTCAGGGTTCTTTCCCACCCCCCACCCTCCATCCACTCCAAACAACTTTTTTTTACTAAATCCAAACTAGCTTCTTTGCTCCCTTCAGACTTTTTTTCCCCTGCATTATCTTTGCAGGTAATTCTGGCCTTTGTCCAATATTCACATCTTTCATAAATCATGTGTTATTTATGCAGGTTTGGGTTGGTTATCTTTTCTCTTCCCAAGTCTCCTTCATTAAGTCCCCGATTGATTCTTTCAGTCAGACATGCATTCCATTCCTCTTGTGTCCGTTTCAGAATGAAATTTACTGTTTTTCTTCAACTCTGTCTCTCTCCTTATTCTGTAAGTTCAGATTTTGACCAAAAAATAGCTTTCGTTTCAGAGCAGCCAAAAGGAGTTATACAACAGCCAGTTCTCTGTGCCATTTTCTGTTCCTCTCATTATTTAATTTGTCTGCTTCTTGGTCTATTCTCATAGCCTCCTGCTCTTGGTACATTTGCCTGAGCAGACCGAAAGCAATTTGCTGATTGAGACAAAGGATATTTGTTTGTTTGTTTATATAAGGGGGACATCCAGGTGACTCTGAGCAGCTTGCATTTAAAAAAAAAATAAGAAAACCATATAACAAAAAATAACCATGTACGTTCAGAAAACAAATACCAAGGAAACAACTGTTGGGACTCTACACCCATCCTGCCCCAAAGACTTCGAAATATTTTGGAACATCATCAAAATGAGAGCCTTATCCCAAAGGTGCTTTTTTCACGAGGCAACTGGGCTTTGTGGTTTTTCTTGCAAATCACCAACTGTCTTCAAGAAGTATAAATCCTGCCATCCAGTCAGAGCTGACGAAGCTTCTTGGATGGGAAGTGAACCGTCTTCAAAGAAAAACAAGAAAGTCCAGTTGCCTCATGAAAAAAAGCACCTTTGGGACAACCGTGACCTGGATGACTGAGAATTTCCATAGACAATGAGACCCTTAGAGATTTCTGGATAGGATGCTGTTCCACCAGACAGATACTGCAATAGAGAAAACATACTTCCTAGTTTTCCATACTGCTTATTTAAAGGGATTTAGAATGCATCCTCTTTGTCTAATCTTACCAGATGGATAGAAACTATTAGAACAGGCAATTCTCAAATAAACAGGCCAATGAAGGGCTTCATAGGTAATAATCAGCATCTTAAATTACACCTGGAAACAGACAGGAACTCAGTGCAGCTCCCGCAGCAGCAATGATAAATGAGCAAACTAGAACATCATTGCCTGCACTGCTGCATTCTGGAACATAACTTCCAAGAGGTCTTCAAAGGCAGACCCATCTGCATCATATTGCAGTAGTCCATTCATGAGCTCTCTAGAGCATAGGTGAGTATCTAAAAGGCCTCCCAATCTAGGTACAGGAACAACTTGTGCAACGGACAAATCTGTGGAAAGACCTTCCTGGCCACAGCTTGCCACCTGCTCTTTGAATAAGAGCTATGTATCCAGAATGATCCTCAGGCTGCCTACAGCCTAAAGTGGGGGAGTACTGTCTCATATAAAACTAAACATGGAAAGTCTCCAGATCAAGGGTGTGGGGGGGGGATATACATATAGTCCATTTTGTCTTGTCAGGATTGAATCAATTTGTTCCTCCTCATCGAGACCTGAACAACCTCTAGACACTGTGACAGGACATTGACAGCATCATCTGGACAGTCTGGGCTCAAGATGGGTATCATCTGTTACTGGTGATACTGACAGATGACCTTATCTAACAGTTTCATGTAGTTGCTGAATAAGAGGGGAAAGCATCAAGCCCTGATGCACCTCATAAACTAAGATCTCTGGGTACAACATCCCCTCCCAAACACTGACTGGAATTGACCATTGGAGCAAGAGGAGAACCACTATAAAATGAGGACTCCCACCCCCAAACTTTGCAGCTGGTATAGAAGGATACTATGATCATTGGTACTGAAAGCCACTGAAAGATCAAGAGTACCACTCCTATCCCAGCTTCACCAAAGATCATCAGCAAGTACAACCAATGCTGTCTCTGAATTGTTCTGTACTATACTATACTGTACAGCCTGAAACCTGACTTAAATGGATCCAGATAATCTCTTTCCTCCAAGATCCTCTGCAGCAGTTGCCTGACCACTTTTCATTATGGCAACATTCTCTACAAAAGTCAACTGGTTGGAAACTTAACTCATACTTCATCATCACTGACAGGGCTGCTTATGAGGACATCCAGCTGGTTTAAAAACCTAAGGCACACCTTGTGCCTCACACTCAGTCTTCCAAGAGAAGGTACAGCCTGAAGTCTTTGAAGGGACAACAGGAAAAAGGAGAAGACCACTACTTTGGCCCGAGATCGCTACAATACTTCATTTTCCATATGGCAAGGCCATTGCTATCATGCTGTTTCTATTCTTCATCTATCTTATTTTTCACCTCCATGCACATGTTATGCACTGTTAACCTATCCATAGACTTGTCCTAAACCTGCCTTTGTTTGTTCAGCTGCCCCATTTGTTCCTGCATTCCACTTTTGTTTGCTGATGTATTCATCTCATTGAAAAAGATTTGTTCATTCTCTCACACATCCTTTTATTTGTTCACATTTCCTCAGTCACTCCACATCATTCATTATGCTTGTATAGTCACACATACACATACTATATACATGCACCAACATTCCAGTATTGCCAGATATCATAGCTGAACCCAAACTGATAAGGTTGTCCTATCTTCTGGTTCCAGAGGTCCTTGGGCCAATAATGCCTGTCCTAGTTTGGGTCTTCCAATATCTGGCAAATTTCATCACAACTGCTCATACATAGTCCCTCTTGTCAATTGTACTGCCTGGTGGAGCAGTAGATCTGGCTGGAACAGAATAGGCAATACGGCCTGGGTAGCGGTTGTCCCGTGGTGGGCAGGAGCAGCACAGGAGTGATCCTCCAAGGAGCAGTAAGGCAGAAGCTGCCCAACCAACATAGAGAGCAGCCCCCAGTTCCCTTTTGAGGGGTTCAGCCACAATTGGATTGTAAAAGTCACGGATGATGGAATTGGCAGACCAGCAGACAGGAATAAGTGAGAGAAGTCCTGAGACAATAAAGAAGGCACCTGAGGTAATGACAATACGTGCCTTGGCACCTTCTTCCTCCACGCAGTTGGTACACTTGGCTCCAACAATACTCACCAACAACGCCAGGACAGCAAGCACCACTGAGATAACCATGAGGGCCCGGGCAGCTTGGACATCTTGAGGCAGGGCTAGCATGGAATCATAGATCTTGCACTGCATCTGGCCAGTACTCTGTACCACACAATTCATCCACAGTCCCTCCCAGATTGTCTGTGCTACAACAATGTTGTTTCCAATGAACGCTGTAACCTTCCACATGGGCAATGCACACGAAAGGATAGTCCCCAACCAGCCAAAGATGCACAGAGCCATAGCCATGATCTCTAGCCCCACAGATGCCATTATGGCTATCCTTCAATTTGGCTATAAAATGCACACCTCTTTTTTTTTCTTTCTTCTGCTGCCCTCTGGGAAGGCCAAGGATGATGGATTATGGACAGAAACACCAGGAGACAAGTTGTTTTTGGTAGAAATCAATGAAGATGAGAATTCAGAAATTACTCCCTCTCAATGGTGGTACACAACATCAGAATCTATGTTTTCACCTGAAAGCAAACTCCTAATAAATAAATCCTAAAAGAATATTGCGCTCATGTGGCTGTCCAAGACAAAGAAACGTACGGAGCTTTTCTTTAAAATTAACTCTCTTTAGTAGATTAGCGAGCAGAACTGTTATAGAAGAGGCCTTCTTGGGTTACCTGCGTATGGAAAGCAGCTTCGAAGATGGCAATCTATAGCTTCCGAGAGTCGATTTTTGATGTAGGGTCATCCAGAAATAGCATTCTGTGAGGTGTCACTTTAGGAGCTGGGTTGGAGAAGGATAGACCAAAGTCTGAAAGGTGAAGAACCCCTAAAGGGGAAATAAGGATAAATCCAGTGCTATCTTTTCTTGGTGGCTCCGACAACCTGTTTGTTATTGCATTGTTCTCCTTCACAGGTACCTGTTGTCTAGAAAGTTCCCAAGGGAGCCTGAGCTTAGGGACAGCAAGGGGCGGGTTATATGAACCCCCGACAGGTGGCTGGGAGGGGCAGAAGACCAATCTGAGAAGGGCATTGGGGGATCCATGGTAACCAAGGCCTGGGTGGTGGTGTTATGGAGAGAGTTTGAATATTTCTTTATTTTCTGCTAGCTAGTTGGGAAGCTGCCCATTCCAGAGGAAAAAGAGGGGGGGAGAGGAAGAGGCCGAGAAAAACAAGCAAGGGTGGAAAGGGAGGGAGGGAGGATGAAAGACAGAAAAACATAGAGGGAGTTATTGTGGTCAAATTCTTCTAGAAGAGAAATTTAAAAAATGGAAACTATTAGATATTCATTATGCTAACCAGGCATAACTCCAAAATTACATAGAAGGGGGTCACATCTACTATTTAAATTAACTGAATGCTTAGCACAGGGGTCCACATGCATACATGTCCACACAAGCGCATGCACAAACATCCCTTTATTTTCATTACACAAATGCAACTCTCTCTAATAAATGCATAACAACAGAAGCTTTTGTGAAGTTCACTTTGATAAGATAAAATATTTTCCTGAGTTGAATTTAAAGAATAGACAGCACAACTATTGTTAAGGGTGGTTGATCACAAAACATTTGTTGTGAGCAGCATAATCTGACATTAGTATTTTACATTAATGTGCGTAATATGATTAAAAACACTCAACTTTCTCCCAGTTCAACCAAAGAAGACAGAATTAAATTTTGTTCTGATTTTCTGTATTTTAGTGGATTCAGTCCTGTTGTTAACTGTATGTTAGACTAAGGCACTTTTGGCTCAGTGTATTGGGAGAACCCAGTCAATTTTGGTTAACTTAATAAGACATTATAAAGCATAGGGTACTGTGGCTTAATGTTATGTGCTAATCCAGTCATTGGGACTTAATTTACAGATGTGCCTATAGGTGTTGTGATTAGGGTTATTTTAACACCCAAATCCAGTTAAAGAACTGTGATTCTGGATGAGTTCCTCAACTGCAGTGTGAAACCCAGGATTACAACTGATTTAAACCTTGATCTGGCATAGTGTTTCTCAATTTTACCCATTTTAGGATGTCTGGGTTTCACTTCCCACAATTCCCCTGTCAGAATTCTGAGAGTTGTGAAGTTCAAGTGTTTGTTTATGCTAAGGTGACCAACTTTTTTACAATGAAAAGGATGACACAAATAAATTGAAGAAAAAAATATTGTAAATAAAAGAAACATTTTATTCATTGCAACAATAATACAGAATACACTATTATATGATAAATGCATAATAAAAACATCTGTAACAATAACATTTTATATTGTAATTATGCTTACATGCCATGCCCCCGCCCGCAGCCACTCCGCCAGCACTGCTGCCCCGCCGTGTAGAGCAGGCCCCGCGACTCCCAAAGCACCAGCTGCGCCGGCTCCGGCCCCGGGGGGCAGCCTGCCATCAACACACCCCGCCTGCTGCCACCCCACCAGCACCACCACCCACCCTGCGCAGCCCCGTGTAGAGGGGCCCCGCGGCTCCCACAGCATGGGGGGCAGCTGGCCACTGCCGCCCCTCACACCCCCGCCCGCAGCAGCCCCGCTGCCTCTGCCTCTTGCGCCCGCAGCCATTATTGCCCTAGTAGGGCCGAAGATCAAGAGAAAGTTACCGTGGCGTCGCCGCTCCAATCTCCTCCAGGTATCTTCGGAACTAACTAGGTCTAGGAGATGGTGTAGTTGGGTAGCAGGGAGGGGTGCAAAGTTCCTGCCAATTCGCCTTCACTGTAGACAACTTGCATGTGCAAAGTTTGCCAGCCGGGGTTTTGGTGTGCTCAGCAACAATTCCTATTGGCTTTTAAAAGCCAATAGGGGGAGTAGCACAGCTCATGCAAAAGTTAAAAAAAAAACCATCAAAAAAAGGTGCCGGAACGCTGTGATGAGCATTCTATGAGGAAAAAAAAGCCCTGCAGATTAGTCTTCAAATATCAAAAAGGAGGACATGTAGGAGGACACTTTTCGAGGGAGGACAGAACTCATAAAAGGAGGACTGTCCTCCTAAAGGAGGACGGTTGGTCACCTTATGCACATGTGTGTCTGCATGCATGTGAGAGAGAGGGAAGATGGACCAAGTATCAATTTTAACTCCTTTTTCCAGCCTCAGGATGCAAAGCTAAGACACTAGAGTGGTCTCAAAAGAATGCCATTCCACCCATTCCATCTCTGTTGCTTCTGCCTCTTTTTTTCTTCCCCACAAATATGCAGAGAGGAGAAAGAGGGGCACCAATAGGATAAATGGAGATTAACTAGTTTAAAAGTCCATTTCTAGATGTCAACCCCCTTTCTTCTCTTTGGCCTTGTATTGTACACCTACTAAGAGGTTCTTTACCTCTTCTACTTGTTCTGGGAAAACAAGTGTTAATTGCTTTCCTTTTTGTGGGTAGATCTCTCAGGACATGTAGACTTTAATCCACATCTCCCTCTATTGACTTTCTCTCATACATCACTCTTTTCTATCCAGTGAATCTATTGGTTAAAAAAAGAAATCAGATTAGACTAGAGCACTATTTTTCTATTCTTTCTGTCCCTTGGGCTTTAAGAAACTAGCAATATTCTTGAGCTTTGGCTACAAGAAATTGGCAATATTCTTTCTGACCAACACATTTTATTGAGAGGCACTAACTTTCAAGAGCTGCAACTCATTTTATCAGATGCGCTGAGCGCTAGACTGATTTTAAATTGGGATAGAGAGGGGGTGGGAGTGAGGGGACAAAAAGTTAGCTACGCAGAGGCAGGTTGTTTGTGAGACAAAGTATACATATCTTATCAACTAACACTTATAATGTGTTAAAAACGCTTTTAGTTTGTTGAAATCTTCTGAGATTGTCTGAAACCTTTGAATCTTTTGCTAACTGGTGCTATTAGTTTCTTTTTTCCCCTAAGATGGTCATTGTAAGGTCTGGCACAGAGATTGAAATGCTGTGATATAACTTTGTCATTGTTCTGACTCCTGATGTCAAACTTGTGTCCATTCATTTTTTTGCAAAAAGTGTGTCCCATTTGTTCTACGTAGAATCCGTATTACATGATGTATCACATGTATCACATAAGAAGTGCATGTGAAGGCATGTCTCATCTTATGTGTATGTGTAGGAGCCTGCATAGTGCTGCTGAAATTGATGTGGGGACAAAATAAACATCTGGGTCAGTGGCAAATTCTGTTTTCCATGTTAGCATCACTATTCTGCTGTTTCTTGTTCTTTGTGAGAATCTGAATGCCAACTGCCACCTGAGAAAATGTAGTGTTGTTGTCTAATGTTCTGATGTGAATGCTCCAGCACTGGAAGTTTTTAAGAAGAGACTGAACAGCCATTTGTGTGAAATGGTATAGGGCTTCCTACCTGCGCATGGGGCTGGACTAGATGACCTCAAGGTCCCTTCCAACTCTGTTATTCTGTATTCTGTAATATGGATTGTAGCTTTTTAATAATGCATTCGAATATTTTCAGCTGTGAGCTGTAAGAACCTGCAGTAGTCTGGCAGAACTCTTGTCCATTCCACCTTTTAAAACCCACCATTTCATCAATGAATCTGGCAAGGGAGAGAGGGAAGGGAAGAATGCCTGCTAGGGAACATTAAAAATGCCTGCATTTCACTGATCAAAATACCTTCAGAAGAGGGCTGAGCCTAACAACCCAGGATAAGGAGGAAAACAACAACAACCAGTGACCAGAGGGAGGAGTTATCCTTGCCATAGCACACAATAGTGGATAGGAAGGGAGAAAATGAAATGTAGTGCAGCAGGCAATGTGGGAAATGCCACTTGTCTTGGAACAAGCAGATAAAATTTTTCATATGTAGCAAAAAAAAGTTGACAGAGGTTGCCTCCCCAGTGGGTGGATTGGGGGGGGGAGAAGAGGTGAAACCAGGCATTCCTGTCCTTGCAGGGCAATTGGTCACCCAGATCAACCCTAATCCTAAATCTCATTGAACACAAAGGGCTTATTTCTGAGTTAAGCGTGTACCAGACTGTGTGGTATGTAAACTGTCACATCCCCAGATATGACTCTCTTATGGCAAGCCTAAGACAGTCAAATAAAGTAATCAGGTAGTCTAAAGGAAGTTTTCTATCTCCTGTTCAAAATGAGTCATGTTGCCCAAGACTGATAAGACACTGACCACACATAACTCTGAAAAGAGTTGATAAGGTGGCAGCAGCAGTTGATAAACAAGAGATTAATTTTTGCCAAGCATAGCTGTAGAAGGAGTTGCCTTCTAACCCACAGATAGCCTTTTATTTTTTCCTTGTGGAACAACTGGGAAAAAAAATGGGGCTCCCTGCAGTTAACCCATAGTCTGTACTATACAAAGAGGCATCTGGATTTTTGCACTGGAAAATTCAAGAGCCATAGATAGATAGATAGATAGATAGATAGATAGATAGATAGATAGATAGATAGATAGATAGATAGATAGATAGATAGATAGATAGATAGATAGATAGATAGATAGATAGATAGACAGACAGACAGACAGACAGACAGACAGACAAGACAGACAGATAGCCTTTATTGTCATTTTTTTTACTGTGAGCACGATGGCACACATTAAAAATGAAATTTAGTTGCTTGCTCTCAAGTGTACATATACATAACACACATTTAAACATACTATAAACAACATACGTATAGACCTACACCCTTACATGTAAATAACATATAAATATTAATCACTGTCCAATTTGAATACATAATGGAAGGAGGAAGCTTTAGAGTTCGCAAGGTTAATACTGTATGGAACAAAACTGTGACTGAATCTGGATGTTCTGCTTCAGATACCACGAAGCCTCCTCCCAGAAGGTAACAAGGAAAACAGATCGTGAAGAGGATGTGTAGTGTCCCAGACAATCTTATGGACCCTGCTCAAGCAACGCTTATGTGCTATGTCATGAATGGAAGGGAGGGAACTGCCAATGATGTTTTCAGCCATCCTCACCACTCTCTGCACCGCCTTCCTGTCTGAAGCAGTG